TATAATAAATTCACCGTGTTATCAACGTCTATTACGAAAGGTCATACCGTACCGTACCGTACTGGTCCTATAATAAAGCTCTATATATACTACCGGTACGGTACGGTACGATTCAAGTTCGCGAAAAATACTGATCTACATAATCGGGTCTGGCGAATCGTACCGTACCGGTTTTCTATCTACCCGTAACCCCGGGATTTTCCCCAGGAATAATCGAATTTGCTTTGAATATAATGACAATGACCACGGAAAAATTAAAAATTCAAAGAAAAGTAAAAGGATCAATAAGTCGCGTTTGTAATTGTTTTCATTAATACATTACATTTTATAAATGCGTAAAATCAGGTTTAAAAATTGTTGAATTTGGAAAGATTCAATTCAATTTGTAGTCAAGATTATGATTATTTATCAAATAATTAATTGAAAACGATAATGGTAAGAAAAAAATTTTATAAAATTGAAAAAAATAAATTTATTAATGCAATAAAAGATTTAAAAATTAATTACTAAATTAGTTACATGTCCTGATTCGATCCGTTACAAATTTCTTAAAATTAACTTATTAATATTAATTTATTTTACTTTGTTTGCGTATAAGATATTTAATTAATCGAAAATAAAATTTTAAAACCTTAAATATTTGGTTCATATTTATAATCATTTTAGAAAGTTTATACAAATTAAAAATAAAGAAATTTATCTATGCAAAAAATCCAAAAAGTTATATATCAATTATTCCAATAAATAGAAAGTTTCATATTTAAAATGTTTTATATTTTATTACTCAATAACAATTTTTATTTTTTATATTATTTCAGACACTAATATATTAGCTAATTTAATACAAATTATTTTATTACTAACTTAATATATTCAACTTTTTATACAATAAATTTTGATATAACGAATTTCACAATATAACGATTCTTTATTATAGTATAGATTTTCTATATTAAAAAAATCTTGTTTTACAGAATTTACTAGTATAATAATTTATAAAGAAAATTTTATAAACAGATATAAAATAACACTTTTATAACGAATTTGTTTATAACGAACTTTTGTTACTTTAAAAAGAATCAGTTTTATAAAAGAGAATAAAAAAACATTAGTAAACGTTCTCAGAGAAGCTCACACATTTCAAGAAAAAGAAATTCTACTTATCAGTTAGTTCTCAAGTCTAAAGAAATCAAGTCTTAAAAAAGAGATTCAATCGAAGTAGAATTGAGTTTGAAGATGGTAAAAAATTCACAACTTCAATTTTAGATGATGTAAAATTTATGACTATATCCTGTAAATTTAGAGTAACAGCACAAAGGAGATTTCTTGAAGGAAAATATCCATCATATCTTATTTATTTAAAAGATCTTTATGCTGTAATACAAAGTTTTCATCCTACTAGTAAATCTTTATCCAATGATACAGTACAAGTATTTATAAAATTTCATTAAGTAATAGACGGATTTTTGAATATTATAGTAACAAATTTCTTATTTATTTAGGTTTCAAATTGGCTTGATCAACAAAAAGCCATGGACTCACATTAGGTTGTTGCTAGAGAATGGGATAATGATAACACCTTGAAATACTTATTTTGGATAACATCAGATTAAGTAGAAAATTAGATTCAGTATTTTGATTGTATTTTCAATAATGTTATACACAAAATAAACTGCTATAGTATAACATTATTATTGTTTGTTAGATTTAATAATAATCACCAAAACATTATACTAGCACAAGTACTTCTGATAGATAAAAGTCTTGAATTACATATCTGGATATTTCATGAGATAATTGTAGCTACTAATGTTTATCCAACCATTATACTCACTGATGCTGATCCAGCTGTTGATTTAGCTATTTAATAAGTATTTACTTCAATATATCTCATCTATTGTACTTATTATATTACTCAAAATCTACACAAAATTTTAAAAAAAGCATTAGGTAAAACTTATGAAAAGTTTCTTGAAAAATTTTATCTTTACTAAAATTATCTTATTGAAGTAAATTTCCAATAGCAATTTAATAAGTTTATATAAGAATATCCTAATGCTCAAAAATATTTAAAATTTCTTTACAAATCAAAGAATTATTAGGCACACTGCTTTATTAATTTTAAATTTATAGGTAACATGACTGCTTTATCTTGTATTAAGTCTATAAATACATGTTTAAAATATTTATTACACAATTTAAATGTTTCATTATGTAAATTTATTATAGAAATTAATAGAATACTAGATCTTTAAGATAAAAATAATAAATATGTATTTTAGAAGTTAGCAATACATATTATAAGAAATTAGGAAAAAGTGAACTTTTTGTTTACTAAAGTGAATCAATGTCTTCAATGATTTCTTACACCTACAATATTAAAAATGCAACATAATAAAATAAACTAATCATTATATTATATAGAAAATTCACTTAAAAATACTAATGAGATAAAAATATCATTAATTTGTCACATTTTTCTATTGTAAATTATATGATATATCTAATTTAAGTTATTGAAATAGGAAGAACTAATTGTTCTAAATGAAATATTAATTATTGATATTCTATAAGCCATACTAAAACAAATGATTGAATTCATTAATTCTCATAATATTAAAGAATATAGGCAGTTAATGTTAGGAACTTATTAGAAGCTAAACATTATATTTTTTTATTACAAAATTAAGGACATATACATTTCTGTCTTTTAATTATATAATGTAGTATTGTATGCAAATATTATTTTTAGGTAATGTTAACTACATATAATGCTAAATTCACATTTAGCTTCTATCTTCTCAATGGTATTCTACTAGCAAAATATAGATGAAGTGCCATTTTTAGTTGCTGATAAATATATTCAAAAGATATCCAATCAAATAAATGAAGTTTTTCAGTTTTATATTTGTCTGATTTTAATTAAGGTAGAAATAATTTTTGTGAAGAAAATTTAACAACCCTTGAACAGAAGATCACATATGAAAAACTCCATAAAATATATAAAAAAGACTTTCTCTAAGGCTTTACAAAAGAAATCTAAATCTTAATAACTAATCAATTTATTTCAAGAATTTGTCAAAGAGGATGATGATAATGATGAGTTATCAGATTCAGATGAGGATTAACAAACTGATGAAATAGTTATTGACGATAAAAAAATGAAGATTCTATAATATTTCAATTACAAAATCCTAAGATGCATCATAATAAGGATCATCCAGTAAGTACTAAATGATTAAAATTATCACATAAAGTGTTAAAAACAAAACAAATAAATACTAGTATAAAAGATGTGAAAAAGTTGAATATTATCAAAAGAATTACAAATCTTATATTTATTTTACATTTGTATGCTTAAAAATTTGACATTTATATTTTAACATAAAATTGTATAAGCAATAAATAAAGTAATTTAATTGCTGATTTAAATTTTGATCACGTAGCTTTTAGGGTTTAGCAATTTATTATTATGATAATAAATTGTAATACTTTTTAATAATAATAATTAATTAAAAATTAAAAATCTTTTATTATGAGTAAAATTCACTTTGAATTTCATAAAAGTATGCAAAAAAAAATACTTTATTATCCCTTTTCATCTGCCTGTTGCAATTTTTACTTTATACTTTTTGATTTATTATAAATTAACCAATCATATAACTTATTTACATTACATTAGATCTTCTATTTACTTTTGTTTATTTATACTATTTTTTATTTTTTTTTATTTCTTCATTTACTCTTTTCTCTTCTTTTATCAAATATATTTACTTCTTTAAATATTATATTTTTAATGTTAAATTTATTGTTAACATTTAATTTTTTTACTAACTATATTAAATTATTTCTTTTATATTACTAATTATATCTATTCTATTTATTTTTAATATTTTTATATTACTAATTATATCTATTTTATTTTATTTTTTAATGTTAAATATTACTAATATTATTAACTTTATATTATTTAATACTATTAACTTCATTTATTTATAGTATATATTACTAATTAATTTTAAATATTAATAATTATAATATTCTTTTATATTTTATATTATATTAAAAGTATTTATTATATAAAATATTTGTATTTTATTATTAATATATATTTTTATTTAATAAATAAATAAATTTTAAATTGTATAATTTTATAAATTAAGTATTAATAATTATAAAGTATAAATTTAAATAATATTATGATAAATTAATTATATAAAATATATATATATTATATACTTTTGATGTATTACACATTATTAATATATAAATTATTATATTATTATTATATTACATATTGTAAACCTTTGAAAGTTTGTATATCGTAAACTTTTAAAATATTATACATTAAAATACTATGATACATAAATTTTTTGATAGATTCATAACCTTACATAAGATTATAAGACATAAGATTTATATAATACTTCATATTATTAAATTTACTAATACTTTAAAAGTTTATGATATGTAAACTTTCAAAATTTATGATATATAATATTTAAAAGTTTATAATATAATAATATTATAATAATTTACATATTAGTGATATGTAATACATTAAAAATATATAATATATATATATTTTATATAATTAATTTATTATAATATATATACTTTATTTTATTTATTAAATAATATATATATATTAACAATAAAATACAAATATTTTATAATAATAAAATTTTTTAATATAATATAAAATATAAAAGAATATTATAATTAGTAATATTTAAAAAATAATTAGTAATTTATACTGTAATAAATAGGGTTGTTAAAGTCTTAGGTTCTAGACTTAAAAACCTGGTCTTAAAACTAAGTCTGCAGATAATTAAGTCCAATTTTTTAGACTAATAGAGACTAAGTCCTAAATAAGTCCTAACTAATTAAATTTTAGTTAAAAAAAAAGTTAAAAATTATATATTATTAAATATAACGCGTATCACTTTATATAAAATGCCATTTTTTTATTTAATAAATTCAGAAAATCTTGATAATAATAATCTTATTGACAATAATAACAGTTCACCTTTTTATTTAGATACTGACATTAATAAAAATGAATTAGATATATCCTTTTATAATTTTTATAATAATAGGTTATTTGATAAAACTTCATCTATTACATTAAATACAAGAAGTTCACAAGACTTACGAAATTTACAAAACTCTTAAAATTTACGAAAAACCTCTTTTTTATGAAATTACATAAGTTATAAAACTTTAACTCATCCAGAAATACCTATGTGTATGAAATGTAATTTTGCCTTCTCTTCTAAGTCAAGTAACTTCAGTATGGAATATCATTTATTAAGCAAATACCAAATAAAAATACCAAAAGTTAATAAACAACAAACAGTTTTAAATTTTCAATGTACTAATCCTTGGACTTCTAAAAAAAAGTTAGAATGAGATCAAGTAGTTGTAATTTGGATAATTTCTGATCAACAATCTTTTAAAGTTGTAGAAATGAAAAATTCATCAAAATGATGAATACATTTGATCTGCGTTACAAGGTTCTAAACTGCCATTAAGTTAAAGAAATGGTTATGCAAGAATTTGATAAATGTCGATCAAATATTAGGTATGATCTACATAAAATACCTGGTAAAGTTGCATTTAACACTAACATATGGACATTAATATTAAATGGTAAATTATTTCTTGGTTTAACTATTCATTATATTGACTAAGATTAGAATTTTTAACAGTTTCTACTTAATATTATTCCCTTTCAAATTCGAAATACAGGAGTTAATATAGCAAATACAATTATTAATATTCTTAATGAATTCAATTTAACAAATATAACTTTATCACTTACAACAGACAATGAGTCAGCAATGGTATTCTGTGGAAAAAAATTAGCTGAAGAATTTGAACAGGCTTTAAATAGTTTTTCTTTTAAACATTATCGCTGTTCAGCTCATATTCTTAATCTTGCAGTTCAATATGGTATGGAAATAATTGATAAAGAAATATTAAATGTACATAAGTTAATGATAAAGATTAAAAAGTCTATTTTATTATGTGATGATTTACGCGAATTATATAATATAGAAAAATTTCAATATCTCCAATCTGAAATATATGTAAAAACCAGGTAGAATTCTACTTTTTATATACTTCAAAAGTTGTCAAGGATGGAAACAGCATTAAAAATGCTTGCAATTAAATATAAAGATATACGAAATTTAATGCTAAATGCAATAACATAGAAAAAAATAAAGGTAAATATATATTAGTAAATATTATATATATTATAAAACAAAAAAAAACTTGATATTAAATTTAATTATTAAAGGAAATACTTATCATTTTGGAGTCTCTTGAAAAAGCAACTGTAATTCTTTCAGATTCGTCATATCCTACTATAGCCGATATGTATTATTTCTTTAATAAAATTAAAGCACATTTAAAATATTATATTAAAATGGATAATTTTGACTAGTATAAGTTAGCAAATTCGATAAATCATAAAATTGAAGAATATTGGACAATCATCAATGATGCAACTACAATTACCTCATTATTAAACCCCTGAAAT